GGGTTTGCGGTCTGCCTCAACATGAGGGAGGTAAGGGGGACCGTTTCAAGCATTGCGACGCGTTCATTTATTCATTAAGTTGTAAAGAAAAATTGAGATTTCACGACAGGGAGGTTGAGTTCTTGAGCACACACAAGTCATTTGCATAACGTGTGATCTAAAAATCATCAAACCAAAAAGATGTTCAAGACAATTAAAATGACAACAAGAAAGCATTCTTTTAGTGCTTAAATGAAAATCAAAATGACAACCATAAAACCTAGCCACCAAAGCACATTAATGAACCTCAGTATAGACCGCGGTTAGGGTTATAGACCCCGAGGCTGAAATGGGGACTCGGGCTCGTTTAAGGGTCTGGGCCCAGGGGATCTGAAGGGCCCCTGTCCGGTATTAGAGCCCGTGGCTGGCCAGACTTTTCTATTGTTTCATTCTAGACCATTTCATTGTCATTTCTGGCATTTCCATCCCCTGTCAAGCAAGAGTAACTCGACCAATGCAAGTGGCTCTCTGACATTCAGGGTCCCGTCCTGTTCCTCTTCAGCGAACTGTGCTCCCTGCCGACCAACGGCCCCTTGCCGGCGCAGGCTCCCCTGTCAAGCACCCTGCGTTTTGATACAGGGAGCCACCTTGTTGCAGTGGTCCGGCCAACCAGGAAGCCGTCAGTAACTGTCGCGGACACCGGCCTTGTTCCCTGCTTCCTAAATGGCCATCAGGGAGCCAGCCAACTCAGAGCCAAGTACTCAGCATAGGTAGTCTCGGACCTGCACAGACGCTTTTGTCGTCCTGGGGACCCCAACAGGCGCAACGACCCCCTTTGGTTGACCTTTAAGAACCAGGTCTTTGCTCGAGGTCGTCGCCCGGCCCGCCCTTCAGGCCCACCAATCGGGTCCTTCATAGTATGTGCCAAGGGTCACGGAGGCCACTGAGGGTCAAACGGAAGATATTCTTCCCCTGCCCCCCCCCCCCCCCCCATTTCAGCTGGCTGCGTTCCTGAACGTGTAGGTATCCGCGAAGCTCCACGAAATTCAGCAACTCGCTCTCAGAATGAAACTCCAGGGTAAATAATGGCGTCTGTGTTCCAAAACATCCCCAAATTGATGCCAGATTGGCTTGAAATATGGTCGCTTTTGCTTGTGGACTAAGTATTCTAAATTGCAGCGCAAGTTCTTGATTTCCTGCAATATCTTAATGATTTGTTCCGCCGATTTGATGGAACCGCAGCCAATATGGGGAATTATATTCCTTGTGGGCATTTCCTTCGTGTATTTGGTGCCTTAAGCAGGCATTACGGCCAACGGCTCCATTAACCTTGTGAAAACGTGCATAATGATGGCAATGGTGCAATGGGTACTAAAGTGGTCACTTTAGTTGTGACTCATCCAGTTTGGTAGAAGTGTTCATTTTGGTTCTTTTCAATTCATTATTGGTGACCGGATAATAAGGAGTTTCGAGAATCTCTGACGTGGCAACTATTAACACGCGCTCGGCTGGGGTCAAATGGATCCCGAAGCTTTTTCCGGCATAGTAATTAGCCGTACCTTGTAAGGCCGCTGACCTATAGCAGGCCAAAGTCAGGCCATGGTTTAAGCGGAGTTGATTTCTAGAGCATCGTTCAATCTGACGCAACAACGGAGTGTTAGACGAAGTCATACATCTCTGAGATGCTTTCTTAGGCCACACAACAATTAAATGAATAAATTGCATCACCCTAAGGTCAGGTATGACGATCAGACCAGGGTCGAAACCAGCTTGATGTATGGGGTAGTTTCTGGTGCGTATTGCCAAATTATTGATAACAGGAATCACATGATGCACATTCCATAGAGTTCTTAGGGGTCCGAATAGGTCACTGACCTAAGACGACCCAGATCAGCATTTTGTTTTGAGGAACATACTGCCTAGCAAAATCCTTGACGCTTACTGAAATGCAAAACTTAACACAGTCTTGTATGATTTTCGGCATCAAGGTTCAAAAAAGGTCAAACGAGCTCGCTGGCCTTAAGTGAGCGTGTGATCTTTTGCTTAGAAGCTATCTAGGTTCTGGGGACACTTTGAAGATCAAACTGTACTGTGATTTTGTTTTTTCCTTATTTGACCCGAAGTTTATGACCTAGGAACCTCAAACATTGACCTAGGTGAGTTTATGTGCAGGCCAACACACCCTAAAAATTTGGTGTCTCTAGCTTTCTTAGTTCCTGAGATCTCAGAGGGGGGGGGAGGGGGAGTGTCAAATTGACCCCCATGCAAGCAAAGGGTATCCAGCCCATTGACTCATAAAAGACTAGACAAACTTCTCGAATTTACAAAACGTGCTGCACGGTAGCGCTGTAGAAAGGCAAGCGTTTTTTGCGGCGCTTACCAGCATTAAAACTGCTGTGCCCGGGCGTTTCGCGGTGTCGTTTGGGGCCAAAATGACGAGAAGCTGCTCTGCAATGGGGTGTAGTAAGAGGCAGAGGTATCGGCCAAGGTATGGAGATAGCTTCTCATTTCACAAGCAAGTACTTTCAAGCTTGATCGTGCATAAGTTGGTAATTTTTTTGTATGCGGGTCTGCGCCATGACTGTCAACCTGCACATTTACTGGTAATCAAGCTAGAGATATGATGTTATCTTTTGTTGTTCAGATACGCTGTGTGCTTTCCTGCCATCATCTAGGCATTTTATCACAGCTGAATCCAGTTGCATCCACCTGCAGGATCCACCAGAAGGAAAATACCTTTCAAGATTGGGCCATTTCAATGTTAATCACTTCTGAAAGGCTGCCATGTGCTATTCAACAAGCTGGACAAGACAATACTTAAACTAGACAGCGAAAGTCACTCCTTGTATGATTTTAGGATAATGATTGAGTCAAACCAGTGTCTTGAAATGGCTGGATATTTTAGCTCTTTGCACACGGAGAAATCTTTGCAACAGGGTTAAAACTGTACCAAATCCAATTTTTTGTAGTCCAGTTCAAGCTCAGCCAACAACTGAATTTGTCTTTACTTTGTAGAGCCCAAAATTCAGGCTTTGACTTAAATCCTCATAGTAAAAAATTGTGTACAAGACACCTAAAGAAATTTGGCATTGCTGGCTTGGGCCTTGCACACTGCCTACCACGGCACATATTTAATGAACTGACAGGTTGACAGGTATGTGACAAAATTTTTTTTTATTCTCATCATATTGTATATAGAGCCAAATGAAGGTGCTAGAGGTGTTCACAAATGTTCTGTGCATTGAGACTGTGCCAGGAAGTGAGAGGCCCACACCGGCGATACTCGAATTTCAACTTTCCAGACAATGCCTAAGTAAACAAATTGGCATGGAACTTGTTATCAAGTTACCTTGCTATTGTCTGAAGGGAATATGCAATGAAATTCCAGCTTGCAGCCCACATAAAACTACAAATTTTCTTTGGGGCACAAAGACACAACCAAACGTCACCCCATCTAAGGGGCATGATCTGTGTCATGAAATATGAATGCCACCTAACTACCACTCCAACGCATAAGACATCTGCAAATGGTGCTGGTGCCATGGTGACAATTGTGGCAAAAAAGAAATGTGGCAAATTTTGGTATGGTGGCAATTGTGATGCATGATATGCATTCGTTACATAATGCAGGGCAGCGTTCAGATCATTAGGTGACATGGTCATAATGTGCATCACGTCTCTGCTGGGTGTAGTGCTTGCAAAATGTGGACCAGACAGATTTGTTTCTGTTTCACGTACCCTCATCATGACCTCAAGCTGCTGAGGAAGTGGATCACTGCTACAAGACGTTAGGGAGAAAAGCAAAGGACATGGAAGCCCTCTCAGAGTGCACTCCTATGCAGAAGCACTTCATGGAGGCTGATTTTGAACCATACCGTGAACGCAGAATGCTGCGTGAGGGAAGCATCCCACCATGGTTCATGTTCCCGGAGCAGACAAAACCAGTGGCACGTAAAAGTCCCAAAAAGCGTGCTGACCCATGCACAACTCCACCCAAGCCAGAGCATGTCAGGCGCCTGCTTCTCGGACAGCCACACCAGCCCGCTCCAGAGGAGGCAGAAGTGCAGCCTGCCCCAGGGGAGGTGCTGTTGCAGCCTGCTCTAGAGGAGGCGCTGCTACAGCCTGCCTCAAAGCTGCAACAGCTTCAGCCTGCACCAGAGCAGCAACTGCTACAGCACACCCCAGTGAAGCTCCAACATCACCCAGGTGGCCCAGAGCATAGCTATAGCGCAAGTGCAACAACTCGACACATTTCCAGTCACTGAAAAAGATTGCTGTAAAGGTTGGAAAATTGCGCTACGAGCGGAAGAAGCTGCGACAGAAGCTGCAAAGGCGCGACAGGCGGCTCAAATGCCTCAAAAGTACTCTGGATGCCCTCAAAGAAAGCCGGATCGTCGATGCCGAGCTTCACGAGGTGGTCCGATTTCGATTTGAAAACCCAATGGTGTCAGCGCTTTTCACCAACAAAGTTGTCAATTGTGGCAGGAAGAAGCGAAGTGGCGAGAGCTATTCTGAAGAAACCAAGAAGCTCTGCCGCACCTTCCACTACTATTCCCCGAGAGCGTATAGGTTCCTCTCAAGGAACTTATCTCTGCAGGGTGCAACATCGCTACGAAAGTGGACGAGAAGCGTCAGCTACGAGGTGGGCGTTCTCAACCAGGTGCTACAGATGCTGTGCTGTGAAGTGACATCCAAAAAAATCGACCCCAACTGCTGCTTGATGGTTGGTGAGATGGCGGTCCGGAAGGCGAAGATGTACTCGCAACCCAAAGACAAGTTCGCTGGTCACGTTGATCCGGGTGCAGGGGACGTGGAGGACACGAGACTGGCAAAAAAATGTCATAGTGTTCATGGCCGTTTGTCTCAAAAGTGTGTGGCGCCATCCTGTCGCCTACTTTCTCACAAGCTACGTTTCAAGTGAGACTCAGACAGAACTGGCCAAGACTGTCCCGTGTGCTTTGAGCGACGCAGGACTGAATGTGCGAGCGTTCGTGGCCAATGGGCTCCAAGCCAACCTGTCCATGTCCGGCCACTTGGGTGTTCAGAACCTGCAGCCGAAGCAGCGTCAGCTTCCCATCGTTCCTAACTACTTCCTGCATCCTGCAACCAACGAGAAAGTGTATGTTCTGCTGGACGTGGTACACATACTGAAACTACTACGAAACCTCCTTGGCGAACGCAAGAGCCTACAACTGGATGGTGAAGAGGTATCCTGGAGGTATATTCAGGTAAGAGTATGCCAAATTTAGTAGTAACAGTAATCATAAATAATTTAGTATTAATTCACTCCCAACAACACCAAGCATAACTCTAAAAAACTACTTTTTACTTAAGCATCACTCTGTCTTTCTGCCTACATCTATCCCATCATCTGTGTAGTTCGTGTCTAGCTGCATGGGTAGAGACTTGAGAGACTTAACTTAATCTGAGAGGACGGCGACACTCTTACACTAATGACTGAACCTGTTCAACCCGTTTTCAGTATTCTGCAGCCAAGGTAAAATAACGATTGTGGGTACCTTCACAGGCGCTGTACGGCCTGCAGCACAGCGAGGGTATCCGGGCGACCAACAATCTCTCTCGCCTGCACGTCCAGTACGAAAAACAAACTGAAAGTTAAGCTTGTTGCCAACCTGTTAAGCAGCTCGGTGGGCAAAGCTCTACTGTACCTAGAAGAGTCGGAGCACTATGAGTTCATCGGAACGGGGGCAACGGCGCGCTTCATCCTGCTTGTTGATCAGACATTCGACTGCCTCAGCAGCAGCAACCCCTACGGAAAGGGCTTCAAGACTCCTGTAACTGCCGACAACTTGACGTGAGTTGAATTAATTAGCATTAAGAACAACATGAAAAATCCAAAGTGTGTGTTTTCTTTCCCGCAAGGAAGTGCATTAGAATTGCCAAATACCAGCTATCACATAAACGGCATCAACAAACATGCTAGTGAAATGTTCTTTGAAAATGGAGTTGGCATATGGCGTGATGTGCTTTTGTGTTTGATCGTATGTTATGCCCATAGGCAGATCAAGCGATAGGAGCAAAATGTCCCACAGTGAAATGTGGGCCAAAGTACACCTTTTCTCCCTGCAGCTGGCCACTTATGGCATATGCTCCCCCACCCCCACCCCATCCTCCCCAATCACCAGGCGAAACTGGCCATTCAGGTATGTATGGTCAATCCCCACCCCGGTCGCCGATCAAGAACGCGTGAACTGTCCGCTCCCCTGCAAACAAAATGTAACGACTGGGCGACCTCTGGCTATCGGCAATTCATTTTGAACATTATGTTGCGAGGGCGGTTTTTGGCCGAGCAATTGCCTCAGTAAAGGCTATAAATGTCGCTGTTATTGCTTTTTTAGTGTGCTGACTGATTATTATTTCCGCTAGGCTCCGGCGTGAGTTTCTGGCCGACTTCAGTTCCGTGCTGTTCCGGCTACAGACAGCATCAGGCGAACCGGTACTGCAGACGCGACGCTTCACCTCGGTCCTGGGTCTCTGTCTCGCGACGCAGACCGTCATGGACGTCAGTGAGGCCCTGCTGGAGGAGGGGTTCCTGTATGTACTGTCATACAAATGTCCCAAGACCATCTAGAGCTGCTGTTCGGCCGGATCCGACGTATGGGCGGCTTCAACAACAACCCAAACGTGGCCCAACTGCGAGATGTCATGCGCAGACTCATACTGCTCAACTTCATATCGCCATCTGCCACCGGGAGCTGCACGTCACGGGATGACGGTGACGACGGCCTGCTCCACATCCGTCGTCCAAAACGGCAGCGGCCGACGCTCAGCGAATGTGACCCCATGCTGGCGGTCGTGCAACATTTCCTCATCACGGAGGACGCCGGCTGGGATTTCGTTGACAACTGTGCTAGCTGCATCTCCGGCTATGTGTACCGCAAGCTGGTGGAATCGGGCGCGGTCGGGTGTGGTGAGTGCATTGATACACTTCTGTGCAACGAGGACGACCCACCGTCGCATGAAGTGATGGGTCTCGTAAAAGTGCGGGACAACGGCGGGCTGCTCATTCCGTCGGCGTCGACGAACGCGATCGTTCCGGCAGGTGAGCGGCATTTGACCGCTTTGCGTAAGTGTGGTAAGATAAACCGAGCTAAACTGTCGCTGAGTATCCAGTGCAGCGTCCTGGCGCAATTAATAGCTGAACGCAGCCACGAACTGTTCCCTGGTGCGCAAGACTACTTGTTCGAGCCGCGAGCGGATGAGTGCCATGCTGTGGTATTGGTAAAACAGATCGTGGCCAGGTATCTGCGTGTCCGCCTCCATGCCTACGGACAAAATGCTGCAGTGAGTGGAATGCTCAGTACCCATGTGAGGCACAACCTGTACAAGCAGGTGCTCTTTGCACACCAGTAGTCAAATACATCAGTAAATACCTGTGCTGGTGACCGCAAGTAGATTTACCAGTTACGTGGTTTTGGGGGCTGTAAGGTGCGTGGACATGCAAGCCCTGTACGTTAACATTGTTAGTAGTACTGTGTAGATACTCTGAACAACATGGTGTACTATAAATAGTTTTGGGGCTGTAAGGTGTGTCGTAGTAAAAGTCCTGTGCCTTAACGTTGTCAATAGTACGGTGTACATACTCTGAATAACATGATATACCATGCGCATATCTCGGTGCCTACACAGTTCTCAGGAATACCGAGCCGACGGTGCTGGACATAGCTTATATCCTTGTAACGTACTAAATCGAGACATGAGCTCTAGTCTTATCTGAGTGTGGATGGGGACAGACCTATTCTCTCACGCAGGTGAACAGCATGCACGCGGAGCATACAGGGGGATAGTCAACCATAGCCTGAACTCCAGCAGCCCACCGGAGCAGCTTCTTCGCCCATAAACAACGACTTAAGAATGCCCTCCGTCTCCCAACAGGCTGATGCAAATGATGACATTGGCGTGGTTCGACGTGCCGCCTGTGAAAAGATTCGCGCTTTCCAACGATTTTGGGTCGTCGATCCGACCTGGGAGGACCACAACCGTCGAATACATTTAAAGCTGGATGCAGTTGGCCAGCATTCACGACAATTATCCTGCTCGGCTTTGCTTCTGCCTATTTCAAGTCGAAGCCACAAGCCAGGAGAGGGTGATACGACTGGCCCGGCCCCTCTGTTCGCTGGAATGCTGCAAAGGACCACATCCGGAACAACTGTTTCCAGCGTTATCGTCATGGCATCTTTTCTGTTTTAGAGGGACCATCTATTTTCTTCTGAAATCAGATATTACCCTGTCTCCCACCTTCTCCCCCCCCCCCCCCCCTACTTCTGCTACGACGCAAAATCGCAAAATCAGTATGCCTAGATCAGTCTGTCAAGCCGCTACCCATGCCCTCAGAGCAAACTTTGCTGTGCCGTATTGCATAAAATTGATGTCTTAAGTAGCCCCAGTGTTTTCAAGGCTCTCGCTTCCATCATTTCCTAATCACACGGCTCCGAACGTCGGTCATCCGCCATAAGATTATCATTGCGAAGCTAACTCTTGGCCTTCTTCGCGTGGTGGCGCTAGTGTCGCAAGACGGGAGCAATCGGCCGATCACCGCGCCAATGGGAGTAGGCTGTCTAGGTTTGCAAGGGTTAATGATCCAACCAGCCACCAGGGCGCGTATTTAAGTGTATTGCAGGCGCATAGCAACTATACGCAAGGATATGAAGAAATCAATGCACGTATCCGTATGAACCTCTGTGCAAATAAGTTATTGGTTTAAGCCTTTGCATAGACGGAGAAGTTTAGAGTTGACAGGTTTGAAACAAAGTATAAACAGAGTGAGGACGTATTTGAAGAAGATCAATGCTTTTTGAAGATGCTTGTCTCTTGTGCGTGATGCCGTCTAAACGCGACGCTGACGTCGATGCAAACCTGACAAATATTTCACCTGGCACCCGTGGACCGCACGTTTACTCACCATGTGGGCTCCACGCAGGTCGCTTGGTTGACCTCCAGGCCCACAGCAGCACAGCTAAAAGAACTATCACCAGCCAGAGGTACATCATCCCGAGCGCACCCGGCGGCCCGCCTCCTCCACAGTGCAAACTGTCGACTGCGCATCCAAACTATCGTCAACCTCGGCCCCGCCTGGTGACCTTGAAATCGCTGCAGCCGCAGAGACTAATCCGGTCGGAGAATATATACTTTTTCGGTGTATGCGCATACTGGCAACCGTTGCCAGCGGCGTTAGAAAAATAGTGCTGACTGAAATGGCCCTGCCGCTGATGTTCTGGCAACATGTTTTATCTTACCAAATATCAGAGGTGACGAGAAATACATTTATATTATCATTTTGTATGTACATTTATATTTGCTGTAGCTCAACAACTAGCCTTCAAGAACAACGAGAAACAAGATTTTGGAGCAGGAAAGATAAGGCCACTAAAACCTACAATGTCGAGCATACATTGAATGAAAGCGATGGAAATGCAGCGAAACTTCCCCGAGTATTTTGTGTTTGCTTCTTTCTATTATGTCTATGCCTTCTTTTCTGTAAATAGTTTGGACGTCAACAGAGCCGTCCAATGGTCATAAGATCGCCACGTGGTCCAGCAGCTTAAGGTCGCATTTCGTCGAGGGCCTCCACTTCTCGGGCCGTGGACAAATCGCAGCTGAGTGAATGACCTTACGCCCCGCCCCTTCTCTTTCTGCCACTTCCACCTTTCTCTGCCGCAAAGACGTGGATCCCTACAAAATAGCACGTCATGCTGATGAAAATCCCCCAGAATGCAGGCCTCCTTGAATAACTTTGGACTATGCAATGTCTTTGATCTCATTTCCAATTTCTGAATCCCTTTTGCCTCTCAGTCCTCACGTGGTCCAGCGGCTTAAGATCGCATTTCTTTGAGGGCCTCGACTTCTCGGGCCGCGGACAAATCGTAGCTGAGCGAACGACCTTACGCCCCGCCCTTTCTCTTTCTCCCACTTCCGCCTTACTCTGCCGCAAAGACGTGGATCCCTATAAAATAGCACGTCATGCTGATGAAAATCCCGTAGAATGCATGCCTACTTGAATAACTTTGGACTATGCAATGTCTTCGATCTCATTTCCAATTTCTGAATCCCTTTTGCCGCTCAGTCCCCAGATACCAAGGAAAGCATAAAGGCATAGGCACCGAAATGCACTCTTATTAGTGTTCCTAAGGTACCCACATAAGGAGAGAATGGACATGTAATGTAACAATGTGGGGAACGGGCATTTATACCCAGATCTAGACCCAGTCGCGTTCATTTAGTACATTCAAACCTCATGATGTTTACCGTATCCCAGGCTGGTCAATCCTGTACTCCGTGCTTTCCTCAACAAATTCGGCAAAACTAGAACTCTGATGGGAATCTATAACCGCTAAAAACTAGTACTCATTGCACACGTTCCTGGATATCCGTTCTGAAAGCAACGGGAATTAAAGCATGTTAATTACACAGATGCCTACATTGCTAGTTTATTCCATGTCGTAACTTGTAAAAAGAACCATGTAGAACCGAAACCCCGGATGATCCCACGATAAAGCCCAATGCACGGGATCCGAACTGGAGCAGACAGGTCTCGCGCTAGGTCAACTGACACCTCCTATCATTTCTTGGAACTCCGCCTGCTGTACTATTTTAATGACATAGCCTTTAAATGAGATGGTGCACTGTACCGGACGTCATTGACTTCTTATGACAATGGTATAGTGGTCCTGGTACAAAAATCCTGGCTAAACATTCGAAAACCTACAAAATGTGGACGGTGATATGAACGAGATCATCAGCTTCAACGTGCCATGGAAGTGTATTTAGATCGACCGATCACGCCTTAGCAGACGCGAGACGACGACTTTTGGATTTTATTTTATGAAACGCAAGGACTTTTCACAGACACAATAAAACAACACTCACAAGCTGTCTAAGTGATTTGTGCAGCCAAAAAGGAGACTGCACCCAGCACAGCGTACAGTTTCCCGTTCGCAGGCGAACACATCGTCATCGTAAAACCATCAAATACAACACACCATCGTCACACATCATCGTATCAAGCCGCCCCCGCTTCCGCAACCACAACGAAGACGAGGACTACGTAACGTTAAATCGGACGCCTTTCTAGCCCTACGCACAGCAGCAGCCCGAGCCAGGCCGGCACCCGGTAAAGACATGCAGGGAGCGGCTGGGTGCCCCAAGACAAATATTGCAGGTTCCTCTGCGTACCACTTTTATTCTTCAACACATGCACACACCAGACATCCTGCACACTTCCCCAAGCACATTTAGACTTAAATGCGTGCCATCACCTCAAACTCTGTATTTGGAACGACTAGAAAGACCTCAGCTAGTAAAGCCCCACTAAGCCTTAGCTTGTAGCTACAGGCATATACCACGGTCGGGAAATTTTCACTAGGCATATGATAAACATGTAATGGTCATAACACTGAACTGATGGAAAACAGTCTGCATGAGAACATTTCCGTGGTATTTTGTCTGATTATTACCAAACGTTCCGTTCCATGACCTCAACTTGTCATGACACGTTCCGCGACCGAGCGCTCAATTTTGCTCGACGTAGTCCTGTGGGCTGTGCGGCGCACCACTCAGTCATGAATGCCGACA